CGAGTTGTGATTACACGGTATTGCTTTTTGTTTATTGACTGTGTGAGCACAACTTTAATTAGCTTCTTGGTCCAAAATGCAAGCAGGGAAAAAATAATACAGTCAAACATGCCTTTTCTTGAGTGCTCAGGAAACCCTTTGTGTTGCCTCTGATCGGATGCTATAGCCTGCTTTATACATACCCGTGAATGAGGTGATAGGATGCTGACCCAGTGAGATGGAGGGCATCACTTCTGAATTTTGGAATTCTACCTCATGCTAAAATATGACCTAGTGCCTCTTAATAGAAAAACAGCGCTACAAACAACAACAACTACAAACAAAGAGAAAGTGGGGAGCCTTTCTTCCTGAGGTCTAGTTTCTATTTGCTTGTGTTGTTTTGTATATGAAGGAATATGTTGTTGTTGTTCAGTCGCACAGTCAAGTCCGACTCTTCACGACCCCATGGATCAGATCACGCCAGGCCTTCCTGTTTTCCGCTGCCCTCTGAAGTTGACTCAACTTCATGTTCATTGCATCTATGACACTGTCTAAACATCTCATCCTTTGCCGTCCCCATCTTCTTTGACCTTCAGTCTTTCCCAGCATCAGGGTCTTCTCCAGGGAGTGCTCCTTTCTCATTTGGTGGCCAAAGTATTTGAGCTTCAGTTTCATTATCTGGCCTTCCAGGGAACAGTCAGGGTTGATTTCTTTTAGGATTGACTGATTTGATCTTCTTGCAGTCCAAGGGACTCTCAAGAGTCTTCTCCAGCACCATAGTTCAGAAGAATCTATTCTTCGGCGCTCGGCCTTCCTTATAGTCCAACTCTCGCAGCCATACATAACTACTGGGAATACCATTGCTTTGACCATGCGGACTTTTGTTGGCAGGGTGATGTCTCTACTTTTTATCATGCTGTTTAGGTTTATATGAAGGAATATACAATGCTGGAATCCATGGCCTGTCCTCTGAAGGGGTAGACAGTTCGTTCTATCACCTCTTCATCCCACCATCTCTTCCTATAGCACGTGTGAACTGAATTAACAGCCTTTCTGTACATGAAAGAGAATGAGATGGTGCAATGAAGGGGGCCAGAATGCTAGTCCCATTGCAGGGTTACCAACTTCCAGGTGGGGCCTGGAGGCCTCCTACCTTTCCAATTGGTCTCCAGACTCCAGAGATCAGTTCCCCTGGAGAAAAGGGTTGCTTTGGAAGGTGGACCCTGTGGCATTATAGCCTGCTGAGATCACTCCCCTCGCCTCCCCAAACTCTGCTCTCCCCCAAAATCTCCAGGGATTTCCCAACCCAGACCTGGCAACCCTACAGTTTCTGACTTCTCAGGGGATTATGCTGCCCCCTAAAAAAAAAACAGGGGTCATTTCCTGCTGGAGCGCACAGGAGCGGAGCTCCTGCAGTAAAGAGCCCAGGGGGCAGGCACATGCAACAAGCCCCATCCCCTGCTCCTAGCAGCCCTGAGTCAGAGCAAGTAGTTGCAGAGCTCCCCCCGGCCCCCCGGTCCAAAACAGTCCAGTGGCACCTTTAAGACCAAGTTTTATTCAGGTACAAGCTCTCCCTCCTCTGCGAGGACAGATCTGCACGTCCGTCCCCCCACATTAGCTAGCAATCCAAAACAGTCCAGTGGAGCCTGAGCGGTGGGTGTTGCCTTCTGACACACTTCCAGTGATGTCAGGGGGTGTGGTATATGCAAATAAGTTATGCTAATGAGTTATGCTAATGAGCTCCTGCACCTCTTTTTCTACGAAATGACACCTGCCTTTAAGTAAGATGCTTGTAGAAGGCTCCTAAAAGTCATGAAAGGCATGCCTTCCTCCTCCAAACATAGAGAGAGGTAGCTTTGGTGTGTGATCTCAAGCAGCAGATTCCACAGGGAAAGGGGTGACTGCTGAAAAGGGCCGTCTTCTCATAACAGGGTTGTCAGTCTCCAGATGGGACCTGGAGATCTCCTAGGATTACAACTGATCTCAAGACTACAGTGATCTGTTCCCTTGGAGAAAATAGCAATGCTGGCGAGTGGGCCGTAGGGCACTGTGCCACAATGAGGTCCCTTCCATCCTCAAATCACTCCCTGCCTATGTTCCACCCCCGAATCTCCAGGAATTTCCCAACCTGCAGTTGGCAGCCCTGTCTTTTAACCATCTTATGGGTAAGGTTGCCAACTCCAAGTTGGGAAATGCCTGGAGATTTTGGGAGCGAAGCCTGAGGAGGCTGTGGTTTAGGGAGGGGAGGGACTTCAGTGGAGTACAATGCCATAGAGTTCACCTTCCAATGTGGCCATTTCCTCCAGGGCAACAGATCTGGAGGATGGCCATTCTACTTATGGGCCTTACAAACATGGAACATTCTGAGCAGTCCCACTCAGTGGGATGGAGCCCATGCTTCTACAGCATGTTTGCATGGGTCAACAAGGTATTCAAGTTCCAACAATCATATGTAGGCAGAGTGGGGCTGCCATCCTCCAGGTAGGGACAGGAGATCTCCCAGAATAAACATATGAAGTCTATCAGTGATTGTTAGCCACAAGATATAGATGGAACACTATGAGGAATTTCACATTACCCTTTTTAACCTGTTTTGAAGCCGTTTTTGATCCGTCGTGGAGAAAATTGGTATAGGGCTACCATTTCACACATGGTTTTTCCCTTCCGGTAAAGAGCTGGATCTGAAGCGGTTTGCCATTTCAGACTGCAACACTTTTTCCCGCTTTTTCCCTGCCATTTTTCACCCACACGGGTGATCTCCGGCTTTTTTTTTTACCGTTCACTTTAGAGCGCTATAGCACTATAGTGCCATAACACAACACTCCAGGCATTCCAATGGGGTTGATATAATGCTGTTGCATTATTGCATTATACCGTTATAGCGCTCTAAAGCAAATATTTTTTTTTTAAAGCCAGAGATCGTCCGCGCAGGCAAAAAACGGCGGGAAAAAGCGCATCAGAACTGGGAGAGGAAACTGAAGACTACTTGGAAGTGGTTGACAGGTAAAATGCTTCAGCCCCGTTTCCTAAACAGGACAGAAGCATTTGTGTGTGAAATTACAAATATATTCCAGTAGGGAACTGGTTCTAAAATGGTTCTGTCTGAAATGACAGACCAGAAACCGTTTGGGAATCATTCCTCTTCCGGATTATATCATCTGTCTGAAATTCCTCTATGTCTGGGGCAGTGATGCTCTGTATTCTTGGTGCTTGGGAGGCAACAGTGGGAGGGCTTCTGGAATTCTGGCTGCGCTGGTGGACCTCCTGATGGCACCGGGGTTTGGGCCACTCTGTGACACAGAGTGTTGGACTGGACGGGCCATTGGCCTGATCCAACATGGCTTCTCTTAGGTTCTCAGTTATAACTGAACTCCAGACTACATAGGTAGCTTGTTTATTTATTTATTTATTTAAACATTTACTCCACTTCTCCTGGAGAGAATCGCTGCTTTGGAAGGTGGACCCTACCAAGGCCCCTACCCTCCCTAAGCCCCACTCTCCCTGATTCCACCCTAAAGTTTCCAGATATTTCCAAACCCAGAGTTGGCAACCCCAAGGCAGAGGCCAGGGCCAACCCTCTAGGTCCTCCCCCCCCCCACTGCCTATGTTTATCAGGGGCATGCCACCAGAAGACTGACTTGCCCGGAGTGAATGGAAAAGGCTTTGCAGGCAAAGCAGCAGAGATTGCAGATCAGGATCCTCATAAGGAGAAGCTTGGTTAAGACAACCTTTTTGTGTGTGCAGGTTTCTCAACAGGCAAAAAGGTTTCAGGCTATTTAGAAATTAAATTGTTACACTCCAGATTCTAATTGGAGCTCACAAAGCAAGTAGAAGTGCCCCACTGCTCGCACGCGGGGCACCCTCTGGCATTAAGATGTAACATCTACACACTCCATGCCAAAAACCGCTGGATCGGTGCACCCCAGGCATAGACAGGGCACCTCATCGAGAAAATCCGCTGATCTGATTGAAGTGCTTTTAACTTCCCTTGGAAATTCCCACAAAACATTGGCCCAAGCAGAGGTCTCCCAAGCGATTGCTGGTGTTGCTCTAGGTGAAATTCAGTGGCAATTCTAGCTTTCAGTTCCCTCCAGTTTCCAAAGTCACACAAGCCAAAGTTGTTTGTTGTTGTTTTTTAAATCTAACTTGCAATCATTAAAAAAAATTAATGCTGCTAGATAAGTTAAGGCATAAATCACTGCAGGACTGCTGTATTGCTTATATCCGGAGGGCTACAAAGTTGATAAGAAATGTGGTTCTAAGAATTGTTCGAATTACCTTTAAAAAACAAAACAAAACCCTTTTCTTTGACCAGAAGCTCTGACTACCTCTGTATTCAAGTTTACTGGTGGTGGCTGATGGTGTTTTTCTTTATGTGGCTGGGATCCTGAGGGAAAACACTCTTTGCTTTTGTTGTCCCCCCCCCGATTATTTATCGAGATGAAATACCCGCATACAAATGACTGTGTGCGCACACAACCACATAACACACCATTCTTGTGTTTTGTTTGTTTCCTAGGCTCATATCAGATCAGCTCTCTGGAGTCCGCACCTCTTGGGACTTCACTTGGCAGAATAAAAGCCAACGACCCCGACGTGGGCGAAAACGCTGAAACCGAATACAGCATTGCTGATGGAGATGGATCGGACACGTTCGATATCATCACTGACAAGGACACACAGGAAGGGATTATAACTGTCAAAAAGGTTTATTTCTCTTCCTTCTCTTTTTTATTGAACTTAGCACTTCAGGTCTTAGGTTTCTTTCTGAGGGAAGAAATAGGAGTAGGTGTCTTGAGGGGGTCAACTGTAGAGAAACTAACAGATCTGGCCGTCTCTTCTCTTTCTTCTTCAGGGAACTGTTAAATTTCAAACCATACGAGGTTCATGGGGGAGGAGTGTTTTTAACATGGCAGTACACCTAAAAGGGTATTCTCGAATGGCTCTGTCCTGTCAGGTGGGTGCAAACATTTCTGCACGGTAGTTTTTGAAAGAGGGCTACGGAAACCCCGTTGAGGGAGCGGCCCACCAGCTGAAATCTGTGCAGTTTGATTAGTAAGAAAGTATTCCATGTTGTCCTAAAGGCAGGAGTTTGAGGGAGTGTAGTCTCTAATCATGTGGTCAACCCTTGGACTACTCATGAGGTGGTCCTTCTAGACGGAACTCTGACGAGAGCTGTGGGAAAATTCTAAGGTAGGGTTGCCAACCTCCAGGTGGTGGCTGGAGATCTCCTGGGATTACAACTGAACGCCAGGTAATTGAGATAAGTTTCCCTGGAGAAAATGGCTGCTTTGGAAGGTGGACTCTATGGCATTATACCCCATTGAAGTCCCTCCCCTCCCTAAACCCTGCCCCCTCAGGCTCCACCCCCAAATTCTGCAGGTATTTCCTAATCCAGAGCTGGCAAATCTGCCCTAAATACGGAGAACGAGAAAAACTGTGAAAAGGAAGATGATTGTAATGCATCTTAACCTATGGCAGGTTCTACTATACATTACAGCTGTTATGAACATTGGTGAGTTCTCTCTATATAAAATCTTCCTTGATAATTGTGAGACGTCACCAGAGGATATGAATTACTGAGAGACAGATTTTGTCCGACATCTTTGTTCAGAAGAAGATCTTCCTTCGAAACGGCAAGACATTCCGGAGATCACCGTCAATATATTTTTCTATGATTATGTATACTAGTTTTGTTCACTTTTCCATGATTCTTTAAAGACATATATTAAGCGTCACTTTCTCACAGTTTTTCTTGTTCTCCGTATTATCTCATTACTGTGCCAATCGTTTGTTATTAAATCTGCCCTAAAGACAGATCGTTTTAGCCATAGTTCACATTGCGCAAGGGTGCCATTTAAGTGAGCTACGTACAAGTCCATTACGGACACAAAGACAAAACCATGGTTTAATTCAACTCCTTATGGTCAGTATGATTGGACAGAGGTTGAACTCAGTCCACTAATGATGCAATCTTCGGCAGAGTTACACCTTCCTAAACCTTTTGGCTTCAAGTGTACAACTCTGCTTAGAACTGCACTACAAATTAAATACAGCAAAAGGAAATCAATAGTTATGAACTGAGTCCTTTTCGCTAATTGTTAACGAAGCTAGTATTTATTCTTTCTTAGAGCCTTTATTAAAAAGCCTGGATAGTGCTGACTAGCCTGAGCTTATCAGAGCTCAGAAGCTCTGCAGGGGTGGTCACGGATTTTGGACGGGAGATTACCAGGAAAGTCTAGGATTGTCAGGGGTCATTTCCTGCAGGAGCGCACAGGAGCGGAGCTCCGGCAGTAAGGAGCCCAGGGGGTGGGCACATGCAACAAGCCCCGCTCCCTGCTCCCAGCAGCCGTCAGTCAGGCCACGAGGAGCAAGAAGCAGCCAGGTAAGTTGCAGAGCTCCCCCCCCAGCCCGCCTTCAGGTACAAGCTCTCCCTCCTCTTTGAAGGCAGATCTGTGCATTCCCCCCCCCCAATAGCTAGCAATCCAAAAGAGAGCAGTGGGACCTTTAAGTCCAAGTTTTATTCAGGTACAAGCTCTCCCGCCTCTGTGAGGACAGATCTGCATGCCCCCCCACCAATAGCTAGCAATCCAAAACAGTCCAGTGGAGCCTGAGCGGTGGGTGTTGCCTTCTGACACACTTCCGGTATGTCCGGGGGTGTGGCGTATGCAAATAAGTTATGCTAATGGGTTATGCTAATGAGCTCCTGCACCTCTTTTTCTACGAAATGACCCCTGAGGATTGTGATGCGGACAAAACCAACAGCAAACCACCTCTGCTTACCTCTTGCCTTGAAAACCCCATGGCGCGCGCACTTAGTATTATTTAAACCCATTTATAAATAATCTGAATTTTATTTGAAATCTGTAGTTGAAATTTAAAAAAACCCCACCCATCAATCTTTTTTTAAAGTTTTATTAGATTCTAAAATTTTGAATTTTTACAATTGTAACAAACTTCCAAGTAGATACAGTCCGTTTGGTACAAAATAATAACAGAGTTTCAAAATATCCTGTTACATCCAATAACAAATCAAGTACATAGTTAACTTCGACAATACCAATCTAACTCTATAGCAAGACAAAAAACTAGTTTTTTAATAAGAGAGCACAACTATAAACATAGCAAAAAAACTTCATTTCTTCCATAGTCAGTTTAGTGAGAGATAAGCAGTCTAATATCAGACTTATTTAAGATATTGATTTTTGAAAAATTCATATGACTTACTGAAAACTTAACAAAAGGTGACCATTTTTCAGTAAAATATGATTTTCAGCTTTCTACATTATAATGTTCCAGTTCTACTGTTAGTTTATCAAAAACAAAATAGCCCCAGGTCTTGTCCCATCAATCTTCATATTTCAAACACTAACCAGAATTGGGATACTTTATTTTTTTTTTAATCGAAGCTTGCAAAATAGCCTACCTTTTATAAGAACAAGCTTTATATCGCCTTTGCAGTTGTTTCAGAGTTCAGAGGTGCCTAAAATGATTGTCCCAAAGGTGGAAAGGTTTCTCTAAAATGAGAAGAACTTCTGCCTGACCTATATTTAGCACTAATTGTTGCAGGAGTCGTCATTTTGAATGGGTGTACTTCTGAATCGCTCAGATCAACAACAATTTTGCCATTGATTTCGGTGGGATGCCGTGCGCGCCTAATTGTGCATGCCAAATGTAGCGGGTTTCAGCTCTTTCCAGTGAGACGAAAGAATGATTAGTATCGATTAACGGACAACAACAGCAGCAAAAAAAATGTAACAAAGCTATATACAATATTAAATGAATAGGGAATTTGCTTCAGAGTCATTATTGTTTCAGAGCTCGTTATTTCGGCCGTTAAAGCTGCGGCTCTCAGCCCACTCATTTGGAAGTAAGACTCATTGATTTCAGTGGAGCATCCTAGCAAATAATTATATTTTGGGATTTGAGGTACATGAAATGTTGGCCCTCACCTTCCTTATCCTAACAACTCCCGGGAGCTTTTCGTGGTGAAGCATGGTGACATCAAGCCACACAATGCCACTTCTAGTTACCTACTAGCAGGGCTCTTTTTCTAGAAAAAGCCCAGCAGGAACTCATTAGCATAATAGGCCATACCCAACAGCAGGAACTCATTAGCATATTAGGCCACACCCATGACAGCACAGATCATTAGCATATTAGGCCACACCCCTGTGTTACCAGAAGTGTGGTCATCCAGCCACACCCACCTTTTGCTTCTTATTCTGTTTACCTTCTTTGTTGTCAAAACCCAGGGCTTTTATTGGAGCAGGACCTCCTTTGCATGTTAGGCCACACACCCCTAATGTAGCCAATCCTAATGAGTTCCTGCTGTTGGGTGTGGCCTGTTATGCTAATGAGTGCCTGCTGGGTGTGGCCAACTTGGGAGCCAGCCGGAACTCCGTTCCTGTGCGTTCCTGCCCAAAAATAGCCCTGCCTACTAGGAAATAGGACTGCTGACTTCCAGGTGGGTAAACACAGAAAACACCATGTTGAAATAATAAACACAATATTCACATCCACTTATAGCTAAATATATTTGATTTATATACACAACATCAACTCTAGTGTATTGTAAACACTTTCAAACTACAACATCAACATTTCAAACACTGTCAAACTAAATTACGTAACACGAAGAGTCCATCATCGCAGAAACCCACTCCAGTATAAACTGTCTTCTTCCTGATGGAGGATAGATACCAATGTACAGTTATTTGCACCGAACAATGCAGCAACCTATTGCACATTTCCCAAGTGACGATCCATCAGGTAAAGCTAGCAGGCAGCTTGTATTTCTCACTGTGATGATTCAGCTTAGCAAGCAAGCCTAGTAGACGTATTTTCCCATGAGGTGATTCAGCTAGCAAGCAAGCCTAGCAACACGCCTCCCGGGCATAACCTGCGTGTTTCGGACAACTCTTCTTCAGGCATGTAAATTTCACTGGAACCTCAGCTCTTGAATTTACCCATGCATAAGTCAGATAATGTAAAAATGGCTGTTCTGGTTCTGGAATTACAACTGACCTCCAGACATGGTTGCCAGCTCTGGGTTGGGAAACACCTGGAGATTTTGGGGGGTGGAGCCTGAGGAGGGCGGGGTTTGGGGAGGGGAGGGACTTCAGTGGGGTATAATGCCACAGACTCCACCTTCCAAAGTGGCCATCTTTGTCCAGGTGGACTGATCTCTGTCGCCCGGAGATCACTTGCAATAGCAGAAGATCCCCAGCCACTACCTGGACGATGCGGTACAAAAGGTACAAAAGATGAAACCATGCATAAATAATGAAAAACATATTCAGCCACCACCAAGTATAATCATCTCAAACTATATAAACAGAGGGGTTGCTTTCCCCCCAAAAAATACGACATAGTCATCAGAAACTCAAAAGTACACAGGCCAAGTACAAAAGCAGTCCTATTAATACACCTTCAGAAATAGCCCAAGTCAAATTCCTCAAACAGTGAGAAGTCCAAATAGAGATGCTTATAATTCCTCTTCCTCTTGTGTATCCACTTCACAGCCCCGCTGGCTTCAAGTTGCCATAACACCTGGCTTCCTCAAAAGTGGAACACCAAAACCACCCAGCTCCAGTACTGAATAATACACAGCATCTTTTTTTTCCCATTCTCAATGTAAAAAGGTAAAGGTAAAGGTTCCCTTGCTCGAAAGCCAGACGACTCCTACTCTAGGGTTGCGGTGCTCATCTCCGTTTCAAAGCCGAAGACCCAGCGCTGCCCAAAGACGTTTCTGTGGTCATGCGGCCGGCATGACTAAACACGGAGGCGCATGGAACGCTGTTACCTTCCCACCGAAGTGGTACCTATTTATCTACTTGCAATTTCTTGCTTTCAAACTGCTAGGTTGGCAGGAGCTGGAACTAGAGTACATAAGACCAATTACTGTGATGTATCACCTTACTTACTCCCTTCCATGCACCTCTGCTGTTTGAGTTTCTTACTACCTGGAGGATGGCTACCCTACCTCCAGACTACAGAGATGTTCCTTTGGAGAAAATGGCTGCTTTGAAGGGTGGACTGTAGGGCATTTTACCCTGTTGAAGCCCCACCCCTTCCGAAATGCCGCTGTCCCCGGGTTCCACCCACCCAATCTCCAGAGATTTCCCGATCCTTACCCAGAAGTGATATTGCAGTGTCACAGAACTGCTGTGATGTCACTTCCAAATATCTAACAGGAAGTGAAGTTGGCATGTTGTGGTGATGCCGCTTTTTCCTTCTTTTGGTTCCCACTGCTACACCAAGCAGCAGTCGGAACGGAGCCCAAGGGGTGGGAGCGCTCCTGCCAAACTGGGAGACCTGCCCACCCTAGTTGGTATGGGGAGCCACTGAGAGGAATGTGGATGGGAGGTACAAAATTCCCTTGGCCTGGGATACTCTGGGATTCCCAAGGAGTTAGTCTGCCTCATTTTGTGCTCACCGACTCACACAACAGCAGCCAATAGCCTCTCTAGGAATCAAGAGGGTAATTCACTATGTTTTGCCGTTTTGCCAGTGGTTAAATGAGTAACTATGAATTCCTAGAAAGAATTCTTGTTCAGTCAATGAGTTGGTAAGTTACCTCTCTCATCATTCCTTGTTTTTAAAGGGGGGGGGGTCCTTTTTCTTTTGGCCACAGGGGCTGCTCTGCAGCCTTCGATGTACATATGGTTGAAAAAAATATTCAAAGATATTTTGATCTTGTACATTCACACTGATGTTTATATCAGAGGTGTGAATATATATTTTTCAACAGCGAGAACCTTGAAACTTGGTTACATACGCAGTCTAACACTTCCTAATGAGAAAAGTTAGGAAATGGGAAACATTTTAATTAGCTAGCTCCTTCACTATCTGCACTTCTGCACTATAGCGGCCAGCATTCCATTTCTCTATAGAATAACACAAGGTACATGTATGTTCATAAATCTGAGACAGAGGAGCAAAGCAGGCGGCAGCCAGGAACATATATCCACCATGGTATCAGCCAAGTCACATTTCACTCTTTGACCAAGGCTTGAAGAGGTAGAACATAAGAGAAGCCAATGTTGGATCAGGCCAATGGCCCCTCTAGTCCAACACTCTGTCATGCAGTGGCCAAAAATACCAGGTGCCAACAGGAGGGCAAGCAGTGGGGCCAGGTAGCTTTGCAGAGGCAGCGAAGGGATGTAACAACACTTGCAGAATGCCCACGGTGTTTAAAGCACAATGGTAAAGCAAGTTCCTAATAATTTGTGTAGAACTGTACTATTTTTTTTTTTTAAAAACTCAAGTAGCACATTAATGCAATCAAATGTACTGTGCATAAAAATGCAGAAAATATGAAGAAAGCTTATATTCTCCCATTAAGTACGTATGAAGATAGAAAGGCCCTGCATTTTCTCAGACGAACATTAGAATGGGAGTCCCCCACCTTTTCCAGCCTGCAAGCACCTATAGAGTTCTTCTGACACAGCATGGTGGGCACAGCCACAAAATGGCTGCCACAAAACAGCTCCCTCAGGGGGTATAGCTAGTCATAAAATGGCTGACACAACTTAACTTCAGTCACACACTGTGAAGATCCTTCTGCTGTGGTGGCAGCTACTGACAAAACATTTCCCCCCACAAACCAAAGTTGTTTTGTTTTTTAAAAATAAATACACAGTCAATCAAATCTCCAGTGACAAGTTGGAAGCTTTGCCGGGCAAAAGACCTACTTGGCCCTGCCCGTTTTCTAAAAATACTTGGCAGATACCAGGAAAGGTGTCCGCAGGTTCCCATGGCACCCACAGACACCATGTCATTGAAGGAAGAGAGTTCTGATGAAGGGGTGTGGGGTAGGACTTTTCATACCTTCTCTCCCATGAAGGCTAGACAGTGTTTTAGAACAGGGGGCAGATACCAGGAAAGGTGTCCGCAGGTTTCCATGGTGCCCACAGATACCGTGTCGGAGATCCCTGAATTAGAATTGTATTGAAGGAAGGGAGTTCTGATGCCAGAGATCAGTCAATGAGAACTCCTCTCTGTATTCTTGTCATGATAATATACCAGAGGGAACAATCAAGAAGCCACTCACAGTGGCTGACATATCTTACAAACTATGCATGGAAGAAATAATCATTAGGGCCTCCCCCCCAAAAAAAAGCTTCAGGCCCCTGCCACACGGCAGGAAAAAAGACAGCCAAAGTGCGGCTATTCAGAGGCGCACCAAAAAAGACACACGGCGGCGGGATCACACAGATCCCCTGAGCCGCCGCGCTTTTGCTCCCCAGCATGATCAGATGCCGGGGAGGAAGCCACCAATGGGAGACCAAGGCAGCCGACTGCGCATGTGTGCGCATGCGCAGTTCGGCTGGGAGCCTCGGATGTGCCAGCAGAAGGACACGCTGGCAATCCCACGCTTGCCGCAGCCTTTCTGGTAAGTCCTTTTCTGTAGGTGGTTTATTTTAACAGTGGATTTTTGGCCTGAAGGGCCAGATCAGGGACGGGTGCACGCCGCTGCCCAGATGTTGCGGTGAGATCGCACCCGTTTGCTGCGCCCCCAATCCGTCCTTCTCCTGGCCCAAAACCTTCCGTGTGACCGGGGCCTCAGTCTTTTAACTATTGATTTCCTAAAGTACTGTTTCCCAACTCCTATGAAATCGTCCCCCCCCTTTCCCCTCTCTGTTCATGTGGCATGTGTTTCTTTCTTCTCCATTCCTCTGAAATTGGTTTGGGGTTGTTGTTTCCCCCCCCTCTTTTCTTCTATAAATGTTTATACCTCTCTGTTCATGTGGCATGCCTTTCTTTCCTCTCCTACATTTCCATGCAAGCAATTAGATTATGAAAAGAAGAATCTCTACACCCTAAAAGTGGAGGCCACCAACACGCATCTGGACCCACGGTTTTTCCACCTGGGCCCATTTAAGGATTCGGCTTTTGTCAAAGTTTTTGTGGAAGACGTGGACGAACCGCCGGTGTTTACCATGCCCTCTAGTTTAATAGAAGTGGACGAAGATGCCAGGGAAGGCAGCATCGTTGGCCAAGTAATAGCTCAAGACCCAGATGTAGTGAAGAACGCAATCAAGTAAGTTGCCTTCCACACAGAGCACAAAAAAGAAAGTGTATCAAATGTTTATACCTCTCTTATGCTCCCAAATATCTCTAAGAAAAGAAGGGCAGCATCAAAGTCTAACACTGACTTCTGTGGTCTTAGAACAGCACAACTGTGTTTAGGATTGTCTTGTTAAGTGTAGCGAAGAAGCTAATGTTGAAATCCTGTCATTTATAGGCAGATTCACATTCCTGTTGTGACGGTCATTTTCCTGGGCTCTTTTTGCAGCAGGAACTCCTTTGCATATTAGGCAACACACCCCTAATGTATCCAATCCTCCAAGGGCTTACAGAGCTCTTCTTACAGGGGCTACTGTAAGCTCTTGGAGGATTGGCTACATTAGGGGTGTGTTGTCTAATATGCAAAGGAGTCCCTGCTACAAAAAGAGCCCTGTCCTGTTGTGGTGAGGGGAAGGGAAAGGAGATTGTAAACCACTGTTCAAGTAGTGAAGGATGGGATATAAATCCAATCTCCCCTCCCCCTCCTGTCCCTCCCCTCCTCAAACCACACTCACCCCTAGCTCTACAGGAATTTCCCAACCTGGAGCTGGCAACGCTGTGCTAGACTTCTGATTTATTTTTCTGCAATAGACTAACAGGGCTGTCTCTTTGGAATACCACTCTCTAGGCTGTCATTCAGCCCCCAGAGACAGTGATTCCCCTCCTAGCAACTGACCCGTTAATCCCAGGGCTGTCATTCTATTCTCTGAGCTGTCATTCCAGATTAAGCGCACTCGCCCTGCTCTCAGGGGCTCTCCTTCCACTCTCAAAACCATCACTGCACACGGAGAGCATGCATTCTAGTCACAAGGGCCCTCCTTCAACTCCCAGGACCACGAGAAATCCCACTACTGGTTTTTCTGGCACCCTTTGCAATCTTTCGATGCGTTCCAAGGCAGCCCGTGGGCATTCATGGGTCTCCCCTCCTTTCTAATAGGCATTCTTGCCATTTGCACATCCCACTGCAAGTTATGTCTGCCTTGCGCACCCCGTCCTGTATTCTCTCCAGGAGCCCATGTGGCAATGACAGTCATTGCAGAGACCGGGTGGCCTCCGTGCTCTTTGTCACAACAGCTGCTTGCCAAGTGGGGGTCTGGGAGGCAGCAAGAACCTGCAACAGGGGGGCAATCCAGAGAGCTGCCCACCTCCCCATTCAGCCCCTGTGCAGTCCCTCACCCCTTCTTTCCCAAAGGCCTTGCCAAAGGGCAGGGAATCTGCATCGATGCCCCTCATTTCCAACCACCAACTTCGCAGTCATGGCCAATGTTCCCTCTAAGCTGTGGAATCTTGTGAGCAAGAATTCTACTTCGTGAGCAACTGGCATCAAAGTTGTGAGCGAGCGGTTTGGCTGCTGCATAAATTAGGTTACTCTGGAGCCATCCTTCCTGAGCGAAGACAAACATGTGTGAGCCAGAGACTAAAAAACTGTGAGCTAGCTCACACTAACTCAGCTTAGAGGGAACACTGGTCATGGCTCCCCTGCTCCCCAGACTCCTCAGATCTTGGACCCCAGATTGTTGTCAGACTCCTGAAGCAATCAGTTCTCAACAACTTTCTTGCACAGAAGTACAGTTTATTGAAACACTGAAGTATTCAGATTGTCGTTACACATCTTGTGTCAGGACTGGCAATAAGTGCACAAAGCAAGCAGGTATACATCATTCAAGTGGGTCCCCTTACGGCCTGGAGCCAATCACAGAATAGCCAAAGCTAATGGGTCTAGTTTCCCAAGAGAAAGCTGGTGCTAGACACCAAGGTCAAATGCTCATGTTACAGAGATAAAGAAACACTGAAGGCACAGAGAAAGGAAACCTAAAATTCCAGAGGCACCCCGTTCACTCCATGGCAGCTAGAGGCCTAGCTGACAATTGTGACTCTGATTTGGGGGATGAATTTCTCCCCCCACCACCACCCTGCTCCAAGTTGGGAACACACAAAAGACTTCGATCTGGAACAAAATGCAGTAACACTTAGCTAATCTTTTTGGAATCCCCCCTCCCTCTGAAGAAGTGTGCATGCCCATGAAAGCTTATACTTTGAATAAAACTTTGTTGGTCTTAAAGGTGCTACTGGACTCAAACTTTGGCTGAGTTCAGACTGGCAGTTTGGCCCGTCCTCTTCCCCTCCCTCCCCTTCCTCTCCAAAGGAGGAGGGGGCAGGAGGAGACCTCAGACAATAGAGGGAAGGGAGGCTTGGCTTTGCATCTCTCCCATGTGATTGAGGGAGGAATCAGCAGCCCCGGAGAAGGAAGCAAGCAGGAGTGAATTTTGTCACCCTGTGCTCAGGCAAAAATCCATGCACTTTGGCCTAAAAATTAGTGTGTCAGCACACCCAAGCACAGCTTAGTGGGGACACTGCATTTAACCCATTACTGGTAACCCTACCCCCAACCCCCTGCCTATGGCCAGGGAGGACTTGACTTCTCTACCTGGAGGTAGATTAGGTTAGGAGGAAGTGATTGTGCAGGGGCATGTGTGACTCCATATTCTTGATTCCTGCTATCCAAAATATTTGGATTCTTTCGCACTGCTATTATTGACATTTTGTTTGACACTTGAATGACAAGCCTAATGTCTATGTAAATCTTCAACAACAAAAGATATCAGCACAATTGCAAAATGTATGCAGGGGAAAAAAACATCAATAGCTTTATAGGAAAAGAAAGTGTCCTTTGTTCCGGGCATGTTTCAAAATGCACTATTTTTGGAAGGGAGGTTGTCCTAAATGTTCTTATCATGACAGACAAAATCGACATATCCGACATCCCTTTTTTGTCCCAGTATGCATATAACAGCTATGCACTTATGATGAACAATCATTTATGTTGGTACCTTAGAACATTAGAGTCATCAAAAGAGCAAACAACCTAAGAACATCCACATTTACTAATATCTAAGGTTTGTTTGTTTGTTTTTTAAAAAGGATGTTTATTTATTTAAAATATTTACATACCTGTCTTTCTCCTGGACAACTGATACCCAGATAAACAACTATAATAAAACTATAAAACCCATGTGATGAAGTAGCTTGACTATCAGACTGGCTTCAAAGTGCTGGTTCTTACCTATAAAGCCCTATATGGCCAGGGTCCAGCCTACCTGAGGGACTGCCTTTCCCCACATGTTCCCCCAAGAGCACTACGGTCGGGGGCCCAAAATTTGTTGGTCATCCCGGGCCCCAAGGATGCTAACCTAGCTGCGACCAGGGTCAGGGCTTTTTCAGTGGTGGCTCCTACCTGGTGGAACGAGCTCCCGAGGGAGATCCAGGCCCTGCGGGACCTTATGCAGTTCCGCAGGGCCTGTAAGATGGAGCTCTTCCACCAGGCCTTGGAGTAGGAACCACCACCCCACTATACCACCACCATCATGGTACCTTAAAGGATGCACTGACGAGGCCCTGAGGAAGAATCTGGAATTGGATAGAAGATCTGATAAACCGTCTCCATGTGGGCATAACATCATAGGACACTTGGAACTGAGTTGATCCATCTTGGAGTCACATTAATAACTGACTGAGCACCGTTGTTTTTAATGATGTTGGATGTTTTTATTATGTATTTATGTTTTAATCATGGCATGGATGCACCTTGCCCTTGTGAGCCACCCTGAGCCCATCGGGGAGGGCGGGATACAAATGTGAAAAATAAATAAATAAAAATAAATAAATACATTTTGCTAAGTGAGCTTGGGCCAGCCATGCTGTCACAGCATAACCTACCTTGCAGGGATGCTGTTGTTGTGAGGATAAACAGTGGGTGATTTCCCACAAGCGCTGCTCCGCGCTCACTCTTCTCTTTGGCCCGATGGTACGTGCCAATTTCACACAAGCTGCTGCGCGGCCGCATTTTGCCCCGCAGCTTCGTGCGATTTCCCCCGCGTCTACTCAATCCTGTTTTTTGAGGATTGAGTAGACGCGAAGGACTTCACTGGGGTATAAGCCCATGCAGTTCTCCTCCCAAAGCTGACCTTTTCTCTAGAGGAACTGAACTCTGTGGTCTGGAGATCAGTTGTAATTCTGGGAGAACTGCCCCCCCCCCAGTGAGGGAGGCTGGTGACCCTAGTCCCAGGCCGTACAAAGCTGGGCTCTTTTTGTAGCAGGGACTCCTTTGCATATTAGGCGACACCCCCCTAATGTAGCCAATCCTCCGAGAGCTTACAGAGCTCTTCTTAGATATATATATATATAGGCTGCGGTCACACGGAGCATTAGCCACGCTACAGAGGTGGAAGATAGGCGGACTTTCCGGGCATGATCAAACCACAACATCTGGGAAGTGTAGAGCTCCTGTGGCTAACCTGAGGCTTCCCACCGAAGATGTGCCGTAAGAAACTAGTACCTCCGAGGTACTAGTTTCCAGAAACCTCAGGGCAAGGACAAGCGTCTGATCACGTTTCCGGTGGTAGCTCGTGGCATCCGGCGCCCGCCCATGTCCCGTCACGAAAACTGTTGCTTTTGTCCCCGGTCACACGGGCCGGATATCACGGGGGGGAGGCATGGCTAATTGCCCCGGCGCAGTTTGATCCGCGATTACGCGGTCAGATGCACCGGCAGCACACCACGGGTCCTTGCCTTGGCGCCGATGGGTAAACGAGGGACCGGAGGGGAATGCCGTGCACCAGCGCGATCACACCACGGGAGTCTGGAGGCAGCCCGTGGCAAACGTTTACTGGTACCCTGGAGGTACTAGTTTTTTAACTCGCATTGTCAGCGGTAAGCCATGGGTGCGGTCCACTTCCCAGATGTTGGGGTGTGATCATGCCCGGATAATCTGCCCACCATCCGTGCCTCTCTCCCGGCAACTTTGCCAATTGACCGGGGCCTGGGCTGGTTAAGATCTCTATCTATCTTGCCTCTTTGTCTGTCTGTATCTATCTGTCTGTCTGTCTGCCTGTCAACCTATCTACCTACCTACTGAGATATTAGCTTAAGTAGTTTGTGTATGTGTGTGTGTGTGTGGGTGTGAATGGAACCGTGTTTGAGTCCCGAACCTCGATAACTCTGTGTAGTGTTTGACTGAGAGGAAATTACTAGAGGGCGGCAGGGCTACCCCATCTGCTTTTTGTGGGTCTTAAAGGTGCCGCTGGACTCTAAATTTGTTCTGCTGATGTCTCTGTGAGAGAGGACCTGAGAGGGGAAAAGGCCATGGCTCACTCTCTATATTAAACTAGGCAAGAAGGGTAGTGATGTGTGATGGCCTGAGCTACTTGTAACCCTAAACCTGTGGGAGAGGGGTCGTGGAGACCAGTGGTAGGCACTCTGTGCAAGTGAGAAAGGGGCATTACAATGGGATTTTTTTCTTGATGTAGTTTGGTGTAGTGGTGAAGTGCGCGGACTCTAATCCGGGAGAACCGGGTTTGATTCCCCACTCCTCCACTTGCACCTGTTGGATGACCTTGGGCAAGCTGTAGTTCTGATAAGAGCTGTTCTTGAAAAAGAGCAGTTTCTGTCTCCCCCCAGTTTCTGCCCCACCTACCTCACAGCATATCTGTTGTGGGGAGAGGAAGGGCCAGGAGATTTTAAGTCGCTCTGAGACTCCTTTGGGTAGTGAAGGGTGGGGTATAAATCCAATCTCTTCTTCTTCTTTTTGGGAAATTACTATTAAAAAAGGACAACAGAATTGAAATATTCATTGGGTTGTTTTAAAACCTTTTTCTTTCCTGTTTTTGTTGCTGTTGAATTAATGGAGGAATATAAAAGGTGTGAGTTCCTGATGGGAATAAAATGCTTTGTACATTATTTTAAACCTTTGTCAAATATATAGGACTTTAAACTTCAATAAAAATATAACAATCCAAGATTGTGACCAAAGTGCTGTAATTTCACAGATACTCTCTGAATCGGCACACGGATTTGGATAGAATATTCAACATACACTCTGGAAATGGATCCATATTCATCTCAAAGACACTTGACCGAGAATCAACCCCATGGCACAACCTCACTGTCATAGCCACTGAAATCAGTAAGTCACAGAGGTGTTGCACTTTTAATAAGTGTTTCTGAAGTTTCTATGTACTACGCAAGCATGCAGGAATTGTACTCGCGATGAATTAATCCGCCATCGCATACACTGCAAACACAGAGGCGTTGCAATCCAACTGCTTAAATGTTTAAAAAATGTGACCTTTTTTTTTAGAACATAGAGGTGTGAGTTGGTAGATAAAGATTTATAGATTAGAACTATATTGCAATATTGCATTTGTTTTGTGCTCTTTTGATTACCCCCCTTCCCTCACACACCCAGATTCTTGGAATAATAACTCTGTGTGGATTTTGAAAGAGATTTCAGACAGCCCCTATTACAACAATGGGTAAGATCCCGTGGATCGATTCTGCTAGCAGTGGTAGTCTTTTCTTCCAGTGCAGAGAGGCTTACCCAGATGTAAGCGGCTTCCTTCCATTAGGGGAAACCACCTTGTACTGGAGGAAAACACCACTGCTAACTGAACATAATGGCTGAGATCTTATCACTCTGTTTGTCTAAGGGGGAGGCAGCCTTGCTCCAGGAGAAGAAAGGCTTCCTCAGAGGAAGGCTGCTCGCTGTGGAGGAATTCAGTCCTCCAGTTCCCTGGGAAGCTGGTTTAACCTCATTTAAACATTTATACTAGCACAGTTGCAGCATCTCCCGTGGTTGCTACCCTGCTGGTCAGAGAAGGCTTGAATACGTGGGTTCCCGTGACACCATAATCCACAGCCATGCAGATAACTCACTAGGCTGCTTATCATGTTACCACAGAAATGTATGTGGGTGGAAGCTCTCAGCTGTTTTCTGGCTGGACGGGAGCAAACACAAAAACTGCTGCAACCACCAAGCCAGTGACTGAGCTTCTAAAGGGGTTCTTAGGTTTCTGCCTCTCTTTGATGTGATCCACATAATTTCAGTAGGCCTAAAATTGCAGGCATATCTCCACGCGCTTTTTACTAAGATTATCAATTGACTATGGTGGTGCAATCCAAGTTCCTAAAGATACTCCACATTAATCTTCAATACACCTTAAGCCTGCAAAATATGAACTGTTAACTTAATATTAACAATTAAAACATATAGGTGTCAGAGAGGCCTTCACCTTATAGTGCGGTCTGCTGGAGTGTGTAACACTATCCCACGTGCATTAGCATACAACACACTCCCTTTGAACATCAAGAGTGAATTAATGTTGGATGTCGTATTTCACTGCCAAGGTTTAGCTTAGTGTTATTAACATAAGAACAAAAGAAGAGCTCGCTGGATCAGACCAGTAGCCCATCTAGTCCAGCATCCTGTCTCACACATTGGCCAACCAGTTCCTCTGGAGGGCCAACCACAGGGCATAGAGGCCGAGGCCTTCCTAAGAACATCAGAAGAGCCCTGCTGGATCAGACCAATGGTCCATCTAGTTCAGCATCCTGTCTCACACAGCGGACAACCAGTTCCTCTGGACAGCCAACAACAGAGCATAGAGGCCAAGACATTCCCCTGATGTTGCCTCCTGGCTCTGGAATTCAGGGATTTGTTGCCTCTGAATGTGGAGGTTCCCTTCAATCAACATGGCTAGCAGCCATTGATAGACTTATCCTTCATCAATCTGTCTAGTCCCCCGTTTAAGCGATCTATACCTTTGGCCATCACTACATCCTCTAGCAGTGAATTCCACGTTTTAATCTCTCATTGTATAAAGAAGTATTTCCTCTTGTCCGTCCTGAATCTACTGCCCGTCAGCTTCATTGGCTGCCCTTCAGTTCTAGTATTTGGGGGGAGAGAGATAGATTTCTCTTTTGTCATCTCTCTGCAACCCATGCCTATTGCACCTCAGGCTTTGGGACATTTCTTGTCCCTTCACCTATTCTCCTTAGATCAGGTCAAATATTAAACAGAATCAGGTTCCTCCCTGTCAGGTCCCACAACAAACAACGTAGTACACACTTGCAAGAAGGTTTTACTTTATTGAAGCCATGGAGCACTTGAACAGAAGCACTGTTCAGAATAACAATTCCTCAGAGAGCTAGAAAGGTTAAAGCAAGTTCATAATCATTACAGCCTATAAGCATGGTTCCCGCGTGCACCCAAAGGGTTTCTCTCGCGCCCAAACCTTGGGAAAGCAACTGCTACTTTAATATAAATAATCCTGCAATTCACACAGTCTCTACTAATTACAAACAAAGCAAAGCGCACTTGCTCTTTCCCCTGTGGCCTTGGATAGATAACGTTACATCAAAGCATGGCTGGCGTATACTGAAAGGAATGCAAATTCCTTTTGTTCATCCTGAATCTACTGCCCGTCAGCTTCATTGGCTGCCCTTCAGTTCTAGTATTTGGGGGGAGAGAGATAGATTTCTCTTTTGTCATCTCTCTGCAACCCATGCCTATTGCACCTCAGGCTTTGGGACATTTCTTGTCCCTTCACCTATTCTCCTTAGATCAGGTCAAATATTAAACAGAATCAGGTTCCTCCCTGTCAGGTCCCACAACAAACAACGTAGTACACACTTGCAAGAAGGTTTTACTTTATTGAAGCCATGGAGCACTTGAACAGAAGCACTGTTCAGAATAACAATTCCTCAGAGAGCTAGAAAGGTTAAAGCAAGTTCATAATCATTACAGCCTATAAGCATGGTTCCCGCGTGCACCCAAAGGGTTTCTCTCGCGCCCAAACCTTGGGAAAGCAACTGCTACTTTAATATAAATAATCCTGCAATTCACACAGTCTCTACTAATTACAAACAAAGCAAAGCGCACTTGCTCTTTCCCCTGTGGCCTTGGATAGATAACGTTACATCAAAGCATGGCTGGCGTATACTGAAAGGAATGCAAAGCAATAGGGGAAATGTGCACATGATTACTGGAGCACATGTATGGAGGGGGGGACATATATAGATGCAAACATGCAAACAATAATAAACAATTGGCAGCTTGCTGACACTCCCCCTGCCCCCCTAAAAACCCACTAGCCATGCTAACACTTCGCTTAAGGAAAAAGAAGGAGGGTGAAAATAAATTTGCTCTGTAATTCCAATATCTGATCAGGTATTGGGTATGTTATCAGTGTGACACTGTGGTTATGCTGCATGTCTTGTCTCTCTTTACTTCCAGGCAACCCCAAACAAAGCACCCAGGCACCCATCTTCATTAGGATTTTAGACATAAATGACCACGCGCCAGAATTTGCCAAGTACTATGAAACGTTTGTTTGTGAAAATGCAAAAGCAGGACAGGTAAATGTACACTTGGTGTAGTAAGACACTTGTATCTGGTTTCTGTGGCTTCCTCACTCCCATTAATGGGTGCATTTCTTTAGCAGGCTTATAGTGGCATCCCTATCCTTTCTTGCTTAGTACAGGTGTGAAAAATACCCAGAAATTCCTAATACTCTCTATGTGTACAACGTGTTTTCACAAACATTTCCAAATGGGAAAGAAGAAAACAGATTTGCTTCCTTACTTAAACCGTCCCTCCCCCTCCCCCCCAAAAAAATGTTCAAGGTGGCTTACAAAAGAAGGAAATATTTCAGAAGTAGAAACATACATTAAACTTGAAGAAATACTGCATTAATAAGGGGCACCTACAAAAACCTGGTGGCAATAAAAAAGACCTCTTAAAAGACTTGTGCAAATAGAATGGGTTTTAACTGGAATGTGAAAGAGAGAGACTGATGTAAAGGGGGTAGTCCATTCCATTAATGAGACACCACAACTAAAAGTGACCCATCTCTGGTATCCAGGGGTCATTTCCTGCAGGAGCGCACAGGAGCGGAGCTCCTGCAGTAAAGACCTCAGGGGGCGGGGACATGCAATAAGCCCCACCCCCTGCTCCCAGCAGCCCTCAGTCAGAGCAAGAAGCAGCCAGGTAAGCTGCAGAGCCCCCCCCCAGTCCAAAACAATCCAGTGGCACCTTTAAGGTCAAGGTTTATTCAGGTACAAGCTCTCCCTCCTCTGCAAGGACAGATCTGCACGTTCCCCCCCCCCAATAGCTAGCAATCCAAAACAGTCCAGTGGAGCCTGAGTGGTGGGTGTTGCCTTCTGACACACTTCCGGTGATGTCAGGGGGTGTGACATATGCAAATGAGTTATGCTAATGAGCTCCTGCACCTCTTTTTCTACGAAATGACCCCTGCTGGTATCACAACCCTAATCTCAGAAGGAGGGAAAACCAAGAGCACAGCCTCCGTGCACAATCTCAGTGAATCTGAAATCTTTTTTCCCAGTACAACAACATCCTTAAAGGCTGTAGGTTTTGTAAGCACCAAACACATTGTATAAAATAGGAAGGACATCATGAATTTTGACCATAATCCATTTTCCTTGGAATCGGTCTAGACTGCAACCATCGTCAGCAGCAATTCCTGTGATCGTGATAACACTTCAACAGAACACCACCACAGTGAGAGAAGCAAGGAAAGGTTGATGCTCATGAGCATTCATGTTTATTTATTTCTCACCTTGGGTTGTTCTGGGTAAATAGGTTGCCGGTTCACAGTGAGGACTATTTGCATGTGTTAAAACAAACAGTACTGAGTGAATGTTCATGAATTCTAACCAGAGCCATTTCCGAAGATTCCCTATAATTTGGTGATGATCCGATTAATGCTGGCTGTTAACAGCTCTTGGAATGGTCAAAACTAAGAAGACACGAGGAAGTAATCTTGAGCAATTGTAGAGTGGTGAGATTATTTCATCTTGAATGACATTGGGTACAAGTTATGAAACCGGATCCAAGACTCAAGCATGGGTTAAGCTTTCTTACAACATTTAGGCCACTTCCACACTGTCATTTTCATTACTCTCTTGTCCCCATCACTTTGGGTTCCCCCCACCCTTTTCCAAATGTGTTTTGCTTCCTCTAGGACTACTAGAGTGAACAAAACACATTGTGGGGGGGGGGGGACCCTGAAGCAATAGGGATAAACGAGTGACAAAAATGGCAGCGAGGAAGTGGCCTTCATGAGGTGTAGAGCACAGACACCTCCATGCTGAGGCTGCAAAACTAAACAGAGAATAGTAAATAACAAGGGGTCCTTGGGGGGGGGCATCAAATCCCCCCCTCTGCCACCACTCCATTTTCCCCGTCCTCGAAAGACTCTATAGTCTGTCCTCTTTTACTGCTTTCTTCTCTCCTTCTCACCCACCAGGCAACATACCCATCTGCCCTCCTGCCTTCAGCTTTCCCTCCTGCCCTCCCACCGGCAGCCTCTCCTTGGGAAAACTCTGGCCATGTTGCACAGTGGCAGCTGAGCCTGGCCTGTTTGCATGGTGAAGAACCTGAAAGGACTTTGGGGGGGGCTTCACCGTATCTCCACTCCACACTATTTCCTCTTTCTCTCCTCTCAGCAACCCCATATCTTCACCTTTCCCTGCTTCCCTTTCTTCTTTTCACCCCCCCCAACCAACCTACCTTTTATTTATCTCCCCCATTCCACACTATTTCCTCTTTCTCTCCTCTCAGCAACCCCATATCTTCACCTTTCCCTGCTTCCCTTTCTTCTTTTCACCCCCCCCAACCAACCTACCTTTTATTTATCTCCCCCATTCCACACTATTTCCTCTTTCTCTCCTCTCAGCAACCCCATATCTTCACCTTTCCCTGCTTCCCTTTCTTCTTTTCACCCCCCCCAACCAACCTACCTTTTATTTATCTCCCCCATTCCACACTATTTCCTCTTTCTCTCCTCTCAGCAACCCCATATCTTCACCTTTCCCTGCTTCCCTTTCTTCTTTTCACCCCCCCCAACCAACCTACCTTTTATTTATCTCCCCCATTCCACACTATTTCCTCTTTCTCTCCTCTCAGCAACCCCATATCTTCACCTTTCCCTGCTTCCCTTTCTTCTTTTCACCCCCCCCAACCAACCTACCTTTTATTTATCTCCCCCATTCCACACTATTTCCTCTTTCTCTCCTCTCAGCAACCCCATATCTTCACCTTTCCCTGCTTCCCTTTCTTCTTTTCACCCCCCCCATATCCTCACCTTCCCCTGCTTCCCTTTCTTCTTCTCACCCAACCAATCTTCACCTTTCCCTGCTTCCCTTTCTTCTTTTCACCCCCCCAACCAATCTACCTTTTATTTATCTCCTGCTCTGAAAATTATATTTATTATTCATTTAGTTCATTTATACCCCACTTTTCTCCACAGCAGCTTAAATCATTCTCCTCTTCTCCAGTTTATCATCCCAGCAGCCCCATGAACCCTGTGTGACTGGCCGAACGTGAGCTTCCACAGAGTAGTAGGGATTCAGCTGTGTCATCTAGATCCTACTCTGAAACTCTAACCACTACACTGGCTTTCACAGAGTGGCTGCTGTTGAATATTGGCAAGCAGCCAGTCCTTGGTGAGTCATGCAGCCTGCATGGTAGCACGGTGCCTGGTGGTGGCTGCCTTGGCCGGGCCCCAGTGATTCTTCCCACAAAGGCAAATCAGCCCGAGAAGAGCCCTGATCCCCTGAACCTTTTCCTGACAGAGACCAAGACTTGAATTCTGTGGTGGGTGTCTCACAATGACCAATAACAGTGTACGTTTCTTAAAGCTACAGGTGCCCCTTTTATCACTGGGGTAATGTATTATTTTTTTAGGATTTCAGATGTTTTCTGCAAATCTGGGTCTTTTCTCAGGTTTGTAGAAAGATCGGTCTTGTTTGTCCATGGCCCCAGTCTCCAGATTTAAGTAGCCACAGATGTGGCCACACTGAGAATTAGATATATTGATTCCAATGTCTACAAGAGATTAATTCCAGTTCGACTCAGTGGAACTTACTTCTGAGTGTATACACTTAGGATTGCCCTGTAAAACAGTCTAAAGGAAACAATTTCAGAGGAGGAAAATACGGCTTTGTTTGTTATTTTTAGTAGGTCTGATTATTTATGGCCCCGTTCACACGGAGCATTTGTCGTGCTAAAGAGACGGATAAGAACATAAGAACATAAGAGACGCCAATGTTGGATCAGGCCAAAGGCCCATCCAGTCCAACACTCTGTGTCACACAGTGGCCAGAAGCCACGGAAGCGGCACCTAGAGATTGCTGGTGTGATCACGCCCCGCTGCTTCTTTGCCCCGCTGCAGGAGAGCTGTGTGATCGGCACCTCCCACCCTAACCACGGGACCTTGACAGGACATGTGATCAGGCGGCCACGCGTTATTTTGCTCTGGGGCAAACAGCCACGCTCCCCCCCACACATTTTGCAGGCCATGTGACTGGGACCTGTGTGAGGCAGGCAGGCAACTAACAAAAGTTCAAACAGTAAGAGTCATATGTTTTGGTTAAGACATTCCATATGGTGGTTTAAACATTCCTTGCTACAGTAGCTGCACATAGTGGAGGCATGGAACAGTTGCAACTATACTGCTTGCATAAGAATAGCACAATGGACACATACCAAAAGTGTTATTTCTTGGGTAGTTCCATTAAGCATAACTTTGAGTTACCTCACTTCTTAAATGTATATGCTTTTATTCCTAAGCAGAGAGGAGACAGCCATGTTGAGCCATACAATCTCCATCTGCTAAGTGAAGAGTCTTCCTCCGAAGGATGGAGTCACTTTCTCTGGAGAAGGGGGGGGGAGACTTCCTCCTCCAGATCAAAACTCCTTCCTCCATAGTGACATTTCATATTAGAAAAAAGAACCTTGAATAAAAGTGAGAATCCAGCAGCTTTTACCCTGTCATACTGAAAATTAACCAGGATGCAATAGCACAATTTCACTGAATGCCTTCAAGTAAGGATGAAGGTGAAAATACTACTAGCCCACTTAAATGACATCTAAGTCAAGATTCAAGAATCAAGCACCCCTAGTCTTCTCTAGAGTGTATTGGTGGACTACAGATGGTAATTGCACATCAACACAGACTTTCAACAATTTGATTTTAAAAACTAGTAACCACACTTTTTTCCCCTTGTATTTATTATTTTAGAGAAAATGTTTGCTAGCTAATGGTGGGTTGTCCAATTTCTTTGAGACATCCGCTTTCATTTATATGTGTTGCGTGCATGCTGATGAATCCAGGTAGCAATCTTATACATCAGATTTTAGTACATTTATTCTGTAAAATAATGGCACATGACATGCTTTTAAAAGCTAAGCCATGATTAAAAAATAAAAAATTGCCAGACAAGGGAACACATTCCATCATCATCAGCATCATCATCATCATCATCATCATCATCATCATCATCATCATCATCATCATCATCATCATCATCATCATCATCATTATCTTGAAACA